TACGAAAATTGTATATATATCCAAACAGCTCTGTGCATATGTACTAGTTGAACTGTTTTATTCTTTTGTAACACATAATATCCCATCCTGGCCCATCCTAATATTGCATCACACTACCAAATCATACGAACATTACACTGAATGAACCTGCAATGGCGCCACATACAGATTATACCTACGTACATTTCTAAATGTTTCATCTGTTTTTCATTTCATGCCTGCTTGGTTTGTTGTTGTATCGTGACTGAAAAGCACCGGAGTTACAGATAAGATATCAAGACATTGTATGCAAAATAAATATAAGGAAATTGTGGATAACTGAAAATACACCTCGAGCCAACAAGTTAGCATTACTTTATTTAGGCTTTGTTAACATCAAACTTCGTCTTAAACGTCTTCACTATGCAGAAGCTCCTCCTTAAAACTACACAATACACGGTAGGATACTTTCTATTGTTCCAACTGATAACAACTACTACTTCTAAGTGTTCCAAACAAACAAGGAATATTCTTGTAAAGAATACATCCACCACAGCCTGTGTTAACATGTACATAACGTATTACACGTGGCTAAGATAATCTACAAAATCTGCAAGTTATTCGGAATATAATAACCAACAGTCTTCCTTGCACGTTAAGATATGCATTCATTCGAAAACAGTACCTTTTACCATAATAGTTCGTCATTTCTCCTATTGTTATGTCGTGGGTATATACCTTTCTTTTATACTAATTATATTCATGAAGACGTTGGGTGAAATTGTTAAACAAGTTTGAAATGGATTATTTAACAATTTGAAACATATGTCACGTTGTTATCAGGAATATTTTAAATAATACTGACGCAATCAAGAACTTCATCAAGTGGCGTTTCCATTTGTCATTACCACAATAGACATAGTATATTTTGTTAATAACGCCACGACACGAGATAAAATAGCCAAGCTGGGACGCGAATATGTGTGCACCGTCTGGTACAAGTACAACCTTGCGACGCGATTGGACCATTTTAAATTGAAACTTCAGAAATAATTCCCAACAAACAATGGCTATCGTAATTCAATTTTCCTTCATATGTGATAGGAATTAAATCGTGATTGTTTCATTTTCTTCCTGGAACTGAGAAATGCAACGCTGCGGTACGTGTTCAAAGTGATGGGCGTATTTCATTTATCATTCAAATAAATCAAAAAGCATTGCACATATAACTAACACGAATGGTTAATTCATGAGGTATAACGTTTTATGTAATAAGCGTCCACAGATCGAAATGTTGATTATTTTGTACAGAAAGTAGGATACGCATATATCAACATAGACGAGAGTAGCAGTGACGTCTCATCTATATTAATCCTATGTTCACTTGTTTCCCAACACGCTCATTTTTTGCAGAACTAAAGTCATCTATGAAGTATATGTTTGATAATGTAAATTACACCTAGAAATAATTCATATATACCATGCACAATGATAATGCAAACAAAGATGTCCAAACGGCATGCTTAATAATGTATGGAACTTTTAACTCATCTCGTCATGGAACAGGTATCGTATTCGTGCTGGAATGTCTAGGTTACATGAACGTAAAACCAAATGAAATAAATAATCATATTGCTATTCACGAACTCACAATATAGTATCATGATTGTCGTGGTTACATTTCCTCAAGGTCTTCATAGTCAGAACCAGAAACTGAATGCTTCTCCAGATAGAGTGGTGCCCACACTGTGTTTCTCTGGTTACAAAAGCATGAACAGCATCATTCGATCATGATATGGATATTGCTCGTATAATTGTCTCCTTGCTACCTCTCTGCGCTTTATTGATAATAGATAGATTACCTGTGAGGGTAACTGCTTTCATATCAGCATCATACACCACAGCGTAAGGATGATAAGGCATCCCTTATGTCTTACGCACACCATCAGCAATGAATCATACTGGTGCTTCAGCACTAGTGAGTGAGTGAGTGAGTTGGGTTTAACGCCGCTTTTAACAATATTCCAGTTATATCACGGCGTGTCAGCTTAATGTGGGAGGAAAGCCCGAAGTGATGCAGGTCTCAGACGTTTACCACTTCGGTGAAACCCACGAGCACGGGTATGGTGCTGACAAACCTAGAAACATAATCGGGGCGAACCGGGATTCGAACCCACAATCATAGGTTTCTGGCGTGTCCAGGGGACGCAACTCTGCACAGCGAATCGCGGCGCCTTAGACGACTGGGCCACCCGTGCCCCCTGCTTCAGCACTAAATTATTACAATCGTGAATATCAATATCAACATGTCATGTAATCATAATGCGTCCGAACTGAATTCATACTTTCGTACGCCACATTAAGTTCTAAAACCAATCTATTTACATCTATTCAAATCTATTCACGTGGCATGTGACCATGTTATTCAAGCAACATGTGAAATTACAAACGAAATAGTGTTGAGAGCTGACCGTTGACAAATTCCCTAAACTTCAAGTGCCTTATACATCACAAAGATGAATGAATTGTATACACATTGTTCAAGTAACATATACAGGTAAGTGTGTGAACGCGTTTGATCGTTAGGTTAACCAATATCTTTTGCGTGTCACTTGTCGTAACAAGCAAATATCAGCTTTCATGCTGTGACCAGCACACCACGTTAACCAAGGCTATTGCGTATTAGAGCGTTTTACCACGCATGTCATGACATGTTTGGTAATGTTTTACTCGAAATTTACAGTGAAAGATAAAATAACACGTACAAGCTTGATGACTACATTGGATGGGTGGTATACATTTCAGGTCACCTTTATTTAGGTGAATGAAGTTCCACATAATCATGAACTTGAAAAACGTGTGCACATATTGATGGGTGTCAGCTAGTCGATAGAATTCTGTCAATGAACCATAAGCCACATGAGGACAAGGCAACAGCCCACTATCATAGAGCATAATCATTACAGATAGTTAATCATTTCCTTTAAAACGTCAAATCTAAAGGTGTTTTGTTGTATAGACATGTCATTTATTGGTATATTTCTTTTTCATATTTTTCATTACTAGCAATTCAGTACTCTAGTTTTAGACTCACAATATTATTTGGTCAGATGTATTTCATAACAATCTGTCAAGTTTTAGTCTTAATAAAGTATTTTCTCGATCGTGTATCATGTCAATCTTTATGTTTTTATAACAAAGGATTAATAGAACTTGCACATTACAACTGAAGACCCAGGTGAGGCATTTGGTGTGGTGGAATACATCGCACGCCTTCTATCTGAACATTGATGAAGAATATGCCTTTAAATTGAATTCAGAATATCAGAGTTGTGAGGTACGGAAAAACATTTACTTTGTTAAGTCCGGAACCACCTTTAAGCAAGCGCGGGAGTGGTGACCACGATGAAGAAGTTTCGTCAGTGTCTTCTTGACTGATGTTGCTCGGGGTCATCGGTAGGTCACAACACGTTTTTTACAAGGATCAGTTACACTTGACAAGCATGTGTCGTGTCTTTGTGCGCAGGACCATCTTAAAGTTCGCCCGAAACCACAATTATTCAAACAATTACTAATTTCCATTACATTATTAACAGAAAACTAGTATATCAACATGTTCTTACATATTATCATATACAAATACTGTAAAGGTTGACAGTTTTACATACAACTTTACCAGAGAGAAATGTGTTTTCGTTTCGGTTGGTAACTTTGACTGTGACCGAGAATCATTAAAAAAGACAAAACTTTAAAAGTGTTAAATAACAATGGTTGAATATGTTTCTCGAATATACATGTGTCAATAATAAAGCGGTTGAAGGTAGTGATCCGTCTCACGCATGTGTCCCTGAGAAAGGCATGTACCTGTTAGCAAAGTATGCGACATGTGGTCCTTAGCTGTTACATACACGCACTGTTCGAGCAACCAATGGTTGTCAACAGCCAAGCGGAAACATTCTCGTACCCACCCTTTTCTATACCCCGCTAGGCCTCTTGCGTAACATGCGGTTTTTTGTTATGTTGATAAAAACGTTCTGATGGTATCATCACAAGATAATGTAATCGGCATAATTACAAACGGTTTGTATGAACACAACCAAAAATATTTCTTTACGTATTAACACTATCAAAAACATTATTGTTCAGATTCACATACATATATGAGTATAGGTTCATTAAATACGAAAATGTCGAAAAAAATCAAACCCGAAAAAATAATGAAAATAAAATATAAATACAACTGAAAATCAACAAAACAACAAATAAAGGAACGGCCTGTGAAATCATCAACCCTACAACATCAAATAAACAGAGGATAATTTATACATACCCCACGTCAACCGGAACCAATTTACGTGGTTTGGCGTTTTTCCGCTTTAAAACGGGCATTTCAATCGAGATTAAATGTACGGAAACTGGACAACGTCCTCAAAAAACAACCATTCAGAAGGTGACCGTACTGCTAACTGACTTACCGATGGTGTTGCGTAAGTCGGAGACACCCCCAGTCCAGCATAGTTGAGTGGTTGCGTAATTCGAAGCCAAGCCTTATGTAAGGTGATGATAAACAAACTAAATATGTGGTCCTGCACTTTATGCAATTAAAAGTGCCAGTGTGCTGACTTATGTATATAATCACACAATGAAGCAGAGATGTCGAAGAAGCTTCGGCTTCAGCAACAGTCAATTCATGGTGAATGTCCAAGCACTACTGGTTGGTGTGCGCCCCGCACGCTAATGTCTATCACTAGCTCTCAAGCTTGTGTGACCCCAATATGCGGCCATACTAAAAATAGGCCATGAGCGGGTTACGGTAAATTCATGCAATCGCAGCTCACTGACACTTGCGGAAACCAATAAATGTTTAAAAAGGCTCATCTGAGTATATGGATAACATACCGAATAAAACTGGGGTTGTATTTGGTCAGAAACAGACCCTAGCCGAGATCACAGCCTATCGCGGAGGTCGATCATGTCCAATGGACACAAAGGATATCTCAGTGGAAAAAAACTCTACTCACGTTTATCTGAGCCACAAGCTTATGCCGGTTGATGGACATTGTCTTGTGCATACCGAGCCTTGAGATGGACTTCAGTTACATCATTTTGACTTCGTTTTGTGTCGGCCACTCGAGGTCATGCTGGAAATAGTGAGTTATGTAACATGTCCGCACATATAGGCCTCGGTATACTACAAGCCTGGTCACGTGGTACCATGAACTCACATGACCTGAAAGTGCTGTATGGTGGCAACTCCGGGACTGTTCAGAGAGCAACTGTATTCAAATTACCCTAGGTAATGTCCAAGGCAGCTGTGGTCAGTGATTCTCACGCTTAGATGGTCATCCGTGAGGGCTTTGTGGTAAAAATAGCCCTTGACCTGAGCGTGTCCTCAGAATACCAGGTGCTTTCGGCCACCGGTGGCTATTATTCGCTCGGCTGTTATATGTTATATAACACATAGTAATACTGCACATGAAGCCACGATAACAAGGTTACCGGGACTAAATAGGGTCAGCTCTTGCAAGTAACTGATCAATCATTTCTCTTAATATAGTTTGTTATGTGACTAACGGTAACACGGAATATGTAACTTAAACAGATGGTTACAAAATTACGTAGTTTGTGAATTGTGATGACGCGCACTGATAATTCATAATAACATGTACTTTATTAATAAAGATGCAACTCTGGAAAGCAATTTTATTTTTGCAATAATTTCAAAAATGAAAAAAATATGTATTAAAAATTATCTTTGATGTCTAAATGTTTTTACAAATAAATTAACATTCATGCCAGCTGTGACTTCAAACAAAAGAATCAATGGTTGTGCTTTTTTCACATCAAGTACAATACATGGAGCTCGTCACAATGCATTTATTTGTTTGAAAAAATATTGCCTTGGTGACGCAATGATATACTTTTTTCCACTTCTCGATATATGATGCGTAGATAATATGTAACGATCCCAATAAAATAACAATCGTTAACGAAACACGCCCACATAAATCCCAAGACTCTTTGTTTTGCTTCTCGGCATAGATACATGGTGCACGTTGCGATAGCACTGCAACAATTCGGTCAACAGAGGTCGAGGTGGATTTTACCATTGACCTCGTGACGTCATCACTCGTGTGAGCATGCGTGAAACTGCCGCGTTGAACTGCCATGTTGTGTCCAACTACATTGATCGAGGTTGAGTCACGAGAGCTTCTCAAGCTGTGTAAAGCTCGACTGCTTCTAGAAGACTCCGAGATTGCTTCAGTCGTATTTCCTCTTCAATGCACTTCATGAGAACGCTGTACTTCTCTTGGCCAGGAAAATTTTGTTTACGCTCTAAAACCCATTGAGTTTATTCGTTAAGAGGCAATTGACCTGTTACTATGGGTAACGCACGGCGAATATGGATGGGTAAAGAAGGATATCTACCTTAAGAAATATCACAGTTAATACACCAATGAACATACAGCGGTTGAATGGAAACAGTATGTGTGTTTGTCGTAGGGAAAGAGGCCAAATGGGGTAACGATTTTACACATTGAGCGTAGTGTAATTCACGGCTGTTTTGAGGTTTGTTTATTCGGAATATTTGTTTTGGCCGCCTGTTTGAATTTTCATATCCTGACGTGAGCTTGTTTACATCAAGGTCGTGGGCACGCGGGGTATCACTATGTGCCCTTGGTCATATGAGATATGACAGTCACCGTTTCCTTCGTTGAATTGGTTACAGTCACAAATCTGTATGTCTAACATTCCTAACTGTTGGTCAGAATAAATACTCCTACTATGATATGTTCATAGTCCGAATAGCATACTATCAGCAACAACAAAAATTACTTCGTACCAAGAAGCGACATACCGTGAATACACTGCCACAGGCATATGAATGTTTGTGCAACGGAATATATCGGATATCTAACCAGAATAATTGTATGGAATTATTTGCTTATGTGATGGTTAGTGCGCGCCTTGTATTGACGAGTCGTATCGCATATTATGCGGCAATGATAATACATGTGTCGGCATGTTAGTTGTATATTGACTTGATAATCTCCATACGAGATGACGTAACTGTCTGTGGATGCCCAAATATATCTGACATTGTACCTAACGTGCAAATCATAATTATTGTTAAATAACAAAAGCAACTCATTCAACAGCTTATGCTAATACACTGTCTGTGGATGCCCAAATATATCTGACATTGTACCTAACGTGCAAATCATAATTATTGTTAAATAACAAAAGCAACTCATTCAACAGCTTATGCTAATACACTGTCTGTGGATGCCCAAATATATCTGACATTGTACCTAACGTGCAAATCATAATTATTGTTAAATAACAAAAGCAACTCATTCAACAGCTTATGCTAATACGTTGTCTGTGGATGCCCAAATATATCTGACATTGTACCTAACGTGCAAATCATAATTATTGTTAAATAACAAAAGCAACTCATTCAACAGCTTATGCTAATACACTGTCTGTGGATGCCCAAATATATCTGACATTGTACCTAACGTGCAAATCATAATTATTGTTAAATAACAAAAGCAACTCATTCAACAGCTTATGCTAATACACTGTCTGTGGATGCCCAAATATATCTGACATTGTACCTAACGTGCAAATCATAATTATTGTTAAATAACAAAAGCAACTCATTCAACAGCTTATTCTAATACACTGTCTGTGGATGCCAAAATATATCTGACATTGTACCTAACGTGCAAATCATAATTATTGTTAAATAACAAAAGCAACTCATTCAACAGCTTGTGCTAATACACTGTCTGTGGATGCCCAAATATATCTGACATTGTACCTAACGTGCAAATCATAATTATTGTTAAATAACAAAAGCAACTCATTCAACAGCTTATGCTAATACACGGAATTGCATCACGTTACACTGCAAAGTTATGGAGTACACGTATAGAGTTGTAATGCAGATGTGTACGTTATTTCATATATATGCCCGTTATAATAAACAGAATTGCCGTCCTCTGCAGAAATTGTCCTGTGTAAATATCCTCAAATAATGGGAAGAAGAGTTTAATTGAAAACATTAATTGTGTGTTTTTATTCATAATTTAGTCCATGTCTGTTGTCCATATAATTCACTTATGCTGGTTTATGATAAAATGAGCAGGATATGTAATGGGATCTAAATGGATGATATATACCGGGGAGAATGTGTTAACACAAACCAGCCTCCCGGAGCTTAGATAACTTTTGTTCTTTTGCAATCTAATTCATATGTTTAATAAAATACTTAAACGGGATTCCTTGTATGATCGCCATACGTTCATCGTTTAAGTGAGTGAGTACGGTTTTAAGCCGCTTTTTGCAATATTCCAGCAATATCACGGCGGTGAAATGGGCTTCACACAGTGCACCCATGTGGGGAATCGAATCAACGTGAAGAGCGAAAGTTTTAACCACTAGGCTACCCCGCTGCCCCTTTCCTCTTTGATAATATTTGAGTTACGTGACATTTTGCCTCAGTGTTTTGGTCTGATTAAGTGAATGTTTATTTCTTATCAATATATCTAGATAATGTTCGGCAAATAATTTATGCTATCTGATAAAACGAAGACCCTGACTACAAACTGTATGCTATTAGCGGCTAAAGAACTGCCTTGCTGTATGTGAACACAAGAAATGAATAGTCAACATTGAATTAAACTTTGAACTAGATAAGATGACAAAGATAATAAATGATAAACGGTATTTATCTTCACGGAAGGTAATCTGTATCAACTCTGGTCGAAATAATGTTATTTCTATTTGAAATGTCCATACATCTACTGAGTTTAAAGAAAGACCCACAACATTGATATCCCCACAGGTAATCATTTTACCTCTTTTATCTAACAATACGTATCTTTAATCTAACAAGACATAAATGCGTAATACCTCACCTTTTGTAAATTTGTACTCACCACATAAGAATGATTCGAAATTGGCACACTATATAAGAATGTACCCACCACATAAGAATGATTCGAAACTGGCACACTACATAAGAATGTACCCACTAGATAAGAATGACTGGAAATTGGCACACTACTTAAGAATGTACCCACCACATTCTAATTAAGAATGATTCGAAATCGGCACACTACTTAAGAATATACCCACTGCATAAGAATGACTCGAAATTGGCACACTACATAAGAACGTACCCACTACATAAGAATGACTCGAAATTGGCACACTACTTAAGAATGTATCCACCACATAAGAATGACTTGAAATTGGCACTCAACATGAAAATGTACCCACCACATAAGAATGACTCGGCAGACAACATAAGAATGGATTCAAAATTGACACAATGTACAGCTTATCTAAAGAGTAAAATATATTTAATTTAATAAATGCATGGTAACATTGATATGAAGCCCCGAAGATAACATAAAATAGTTAGAGTAACTTACGTCCGCTTTGCCATAGTGTTCTCTGTACTTGCAACCTCAGATATAAACTGAATTTTCTTCATCACTATTTTCAATTTATATTCACAGAGACACTGACTCTGACGCAAGGGCGTGTTTGCAGTGGCAACGTACAATCAATTGCCAAAGTGTAACAAACAAGTGTTCTGTGATTAAGCGAAGTAATATGTTGTTCACATGTTCAACGCCGGTCGACTGGTCCTCGTGACGACATTTCCCTGCGTAATCGTTTCAGCGTGATCGTTTGATCGAATCACATATATTTCACAGTTATCACTTAATATGATCAGCACCAACCCCGACTTCGCACGTCAACATCCGCAACCAACATCACCATAGAATCCCACCAATATCAAGTGGAGGCACGGGTGGCCCAGTCGACTAAACCTGCGGTATTAAGTTCACATGAACACATACAGACGATAACGATATCCATGTTTGTGGGATTAGATAAGTGTTTAATTTCTATGAAACGCATCACGTACAATATCAAGCTGTCACGCCGTCATCTAACAGACATAAAGCCTAGTTAAACATGGGTCACGTGTGACCCAGTCATCTAAGGCGCCGCAATTCGCTGTATAGAGTTGCGCTCCTTGTGCACGCCCAGAAACCTATGGTAGTGAGTTCGAATCCCGTTTCATCCCGATTATGTTTCTAGGTTTGTCAGCAGCATACCCGTACTCGTGGGTTTCACCAAAGTGGTAAACGTCTGAGACCTGCACCACTTAGGGCCCTTCTCCCATATGTAACTGACACGCCGCGATATAACTTAATACTGTTCAAATCGGCGTTAAACCCAACTTACCCATTCTTTCACGCCAATGTAACTACAACACGCCATCATATAACTGAAATACTGCCTAGCGTATAACCAGTCTCACTCCCTCACAATTGTCTTTATTATGGTTGTAAAACGGATGGACCAATGTTGTGATAGACAGGATCAGGTCGAATGGGAGTTTGAATACATTAAGTCTT